AGGAGCTGAAGCTTTGGGTTGGAAATGGGAGCAGGGGAGGATTCTATGCATCCCTTCTTGGATCAGATTTCTCCACAGCTCTGAAACGTAAAATGTGAGCCCAAACTGAAGGACTATCTGACCTTCGATTGTTGTACCCAAAATCAATCAAAGCTTTGTATCTTTTAAGGAGAGGAGCTGACAGGTCCAGTTTGGTTCAGAAGTCCAATCAGCAATGACTGTGCTCACATCCTGCCACCCTCCCCCCATCCCGGGCAGCAGGGGCTCTGAGCAGTGGGTGCTGTTGTGGCAGTGGAGTTGATGTTTCCTTTATACACAAGCACATTTGCTGCCAGCTAGGCTCACTACGACCGAGCATCGCTTCCTCCTCTGAGCTCTGAGAAGCATTTCCTGAATGCCCTCTCTTTCCCAGAAGGCAAGAGGAGCAATGACACCTCCTTTGGCCTGCCCAGCCATTTCTAAATTGGGTCCTGTCCCTCGCTGCCTGTGAAACCCTTCCACTGGGCACACTCGTGAATCCTGCCAACACCAGTGGAGCACCCAGAGAGGTCCCCAGGCAAAGATATGGCTGCCCACAGGGTATTGAGGCCTGCAGTGTGCCTGCTCCTCCATGAACAATCTACTCTCATACAGTCAGCATGCTTTTGTGATGAGTTTCATCTGCTTTTTAATCTTTTCCCCTTCTTGGTAGCAAGCTGACATCGATTTTCTCACTGCTGTCCGTAATGGTTCTTCTTGCAGCTCCCTCTCCCCGCTTATGGAATGAGCTGATAAGTTCACATTGTCGGGATTGTGTGAAAACCAAGAGAAAGGAGGCTCAGCATGGAGACCCAGAGACGTTCTATACAGATTGTTCAGGACAACTTGTGCTTTGCATGCTGTTTTCTCTTCTCGTTACAAGTCTCTTTCACTCAGTTCTACATTTAGAGAAAGCCCACACTCAGGTAGAAGTTGGATCTCTGATAACAGAGGAGGTCTCTACATTCTTGTTTCATGAGGGTAGACAATGAGAAAAACTTCATTATATACCTTTTTAAAGAGATGGAGTCTTAACTATGTTGCCTAGGAAGGCCTCATTCCTCAGTTTAAGAAATCCTCTTGCCTCAGCCTCCTGAGTATCTAGGACTACAGGTGTGTGCCACTGCACCCAGCAAGCACCCTGTACTTTTTATAATATAATCCTCTGGCTATTTTCTTGAAATCCCATTTTCCCAAAACTTCAAACACCTGCTATCCTTGGAAATTTCTCTCAACATCTGCACATTTATCTTAATCTGAGGCGTCCATATCATTCCATGATCCAACTTCCAGTTTTGAAAATAATTACCCTTCAGGATAGAAGTATTCTTGGAAATAGCTCAGAAGATAAACCTTGTTAGTGGTATCAAGTCTCCCCTTGACTTTTGTTGTGATACCATTGTGTTTTGGGGAGTAGGAGATGAAGGATCTGGTCTGAGGGAATCAAAAGAGTCATCTGCTCCAGCCATCTGCACATCTACTCACACAGCTGGGCACTGCTGTGTGCTGGGCTGGGTGTGGGAGACACAGAGAAGATTAGCTTGCTCTTTCTGCCTTAGTGAAGCTGATATGTAAAGAAAGTAACACAATGAACACACACACACACACACACACACACACACACACACACACACACACAGATATCTTACCCCAAAGTCTTGTGTGTTTAGAGGTGGAGATTTTGGAAGATACAGTGAGCCCTTCACTTACAAACTTAATTCATTCCCAAGGATCTGGTTATAACTTGAGGTGGCAGTTGAAGGCCCAGGCTCCTCTACACAGCCCTCAAAACCTCTCTCCTGTACATGGGCAGATCTCAGTGTCCTGTGAGTCCCATCTCTGAACACATGAGATTCTGAGGAAAGATTTTAAGTATAAACCCACAAACAACAATTAAAAACAATTTTAAAATGTTCATGTAGGTTAACTGAGAAATCCTGGGTCAGGGTCTCTCAAAGGACACTGAAATCTGCCTGTGTACAGAACAGAGACATTGGCCCAGGATTTCCCAATGAGCCCTGTACTGGAAAGGATGTTCTAATGTTTCTTCAAGAACCCTTTAAGGGTTAAATCTGAGACCATCTGGAAGCATAAACAGTTGGCACTCAGGTCATTTATGACTGAAGACTTTGGTCATAAATTAAAATTAAAATTAAAATTTTAGTCATAACCCAAGTGTTCATATGGAGGCCAGTTGTGACTGGAGGGTCCACTGTGATTGAATTGTGGGAGCAAAAGTTCATCGGCAGATTGATACACTAGTGAGCTCATAGCTGAATATGTTGCTAAGAGACTGGGCCTGGTTGAAAGAGATATATCACTGTGGGTGCCACTGGTGGATGCATCTCTTCTCTCTCTGCTTTCTAGCTATGAGATAAGCAACGTTGCTTTGCAAGGCCCACCCACCATGATGTTTCTATGCTGGAGCCAAGTAACCGTCAATCAGGTCCCCTGAACAAGGAGCCAAATTTACCCTCTGCTCCTTTAAGTTGTAGGGTTGGGGATTATGTCCCAGCAGTGGGAAAGCTGGCTAATCCAGTGACTCAGTGGCCTGTGACTAGAATAAAGGAGCATTCAACAGGATATTGGTGATGCTCTGTATCTAAAAGATAAAAAAGTTAAATCTGCAGACATATACATTGATGCTAATTCTGATTATAGCTTGGTTGGTTACCCCAAGTTTATGATGAAACAGTCAGCTAATTATATATATATATATATGGGTTTCTATGTTTTAAGCTCTATTTTAAAGTTTTGTGAGCAATGTACACCCTGCTAAGAGGTAGATGCAATAATTTTGTGCATTTCACATGGAAGAGACTGAGGCTCAGATGACTTAGTGAGGAATGCAAATCAGGGTAAAGTATATTCAGTGGTGCTGTCCTCTTTCACTTCCTCCTGGGTTCCCCAGGCAGCTGGGGAGACACAGTCTGTCCCTGCTTCCTCAAACCCAGCATGCACCATGCAACTATGCATAGGGCCCCTGACGCGAAGGTACACTAGACCAGAATAGCACTGAATAAATTGATCGGGAACCATAAACATTGCCTCTTACATTGAAGACGGGTCTCTGAGCCTGGATACACTGGCAGCTCTGGTCTTCCCTGACTTCCAGAATTTGTATTCCTCAATGCATCTCCAAGCTATTAAACTATGTTTATCTATAGGAAATATCTGAAACCCATTTCCCACCCTTGAAGCATTGACTGAATGTGTTCAGTGCCCTGCCATTGCCTCGTAGAAAGTGAATGCACAAAAAAATCCATCTAATCCACTCATTTACACTGCTGATGATTTATTGCTTCCAAAAGAAAAGCTATAAACAGAATTGAGCAATAAAAATTCTTCATGTTGAGCCATGTGTTCTATGCTACACAAATCATGAGAAAAATGAGGCATACTGTATAACAGGACAGATTGTCCAAAGCTGTCTTCCCTCTACTGGGAAAATCTAAGGCATATCTTCATGTGAATCATTTGGTCACTTACAAAAATGGCAGTGGGAATATTTAAATATTAAATCACATTTTGAAAATAGATACATACATACATACACATACACACGTATGGAGGTGTGGTGGTACTGACTTAATGGTTGTTACTATCATGATTCCCATCTATTCTGGGCTATCATAGTTGTACTTTGCACCATAAGTTCTTAAAAAAGAGAGGCGCCATTTAACATAAGAGCCTCAGGGTGTGTGGCTTCTCCTTCACTCCCTGAATCACGTTCAGTTATTGTCAATGAGACATTCCCAGTAAAATCTTCTTGGGATTCAGGAGCAGGATAACTAGATTCATCCCAGGAGAAATGGCTCAGATGTCAGGTGGGTTTGCCATCCTGGTCAGCTGCTCTCTGACTGGTAAGATTTTAAGCAAATTATTTAACCCTATGAGATGCAGCTATCTTATATCAAAGGGCAGTGTTAGTAATGTCACATCTGGGTTCACCGTGAGGGTGAAGTGAGATACGGCAGGAAAGCACCTCACAGCTGGCCTGGCCTGTGCCAACGGCTTCCCAAGCCCTGGTCATAGGGTAAACCCCGGCTTCCCTCTCTCACAACTGAGCACACCAGGGAAATTCACTGAAGGCGTGAACATGAGATTTTTTTTCCCCTTTGAAGATTAAATAATCCATAGTGAGCCTGTCTTTCCTTTTGGAACAGAGTCCCAAAGGACCAGAGAAGGGCTATCTTTGGTCTTTTTGAAACCTTGCTAGTGGCAGTCTCGCAGGAATCATCCGGGTTCTACCTGGGGGCCACCTGAAGGACAAGGTAGAAAAAATTAAGCTTGGGTTCAAGTCTCAAATTCTCAGCCCCTTTGAATCTCATTTTCCATATCAAATGCAATTGAAGGGTATGCTCAGCATCACTATGATAAATGATGAAACAACTTGACACAGCATGCTGGTTGCACCATGAAAGGCTCAGTAAGTGGAAACAAGCTCTTGTATTGGGGCACACATCTTTGTAGCACAACTCTAATAGAGTTTATTTGAAGAAGGGCATAAGTATCCTTCCATATGACTTCAACTCACTGACCGAAGATGTTCTGTTTGGATCTGCACAGGCCAGATCCACTGCTCAAAACCAGCAGTAACTGAGCGACACTGGCCATCAATCCCCCTACTCCAAGATAACCCTGACCCCTCCAACCAGGTGTCCTGGGATCTTGGAAGCTGAGCTCAGTTTCCCAACTGAGGCATAACGTTAGTTAGAACCTGACTTGCATTTCTCCTGTATGTCACATTGAGTTAGCTGTTATCTGGCCTTGGAGGTGGCAGGTTTTTCTACTCCAAGAAAATCCAACATGACTCACAGCAGACATGATTCTTGGAGTAAATTCTCTTTACATGAAAATTTTTATACACACAGGAATATATATTTTTTAAAAAATGTTACTCCCATGAAATTTAATATAAGATTTTTACTGATGAAATTAGATTTTTACACAACTGGAAGAAGAGAGATTCTAAACAAAAGTAGAAACACAAATACAATTTATTTTATTCATCAAATACATACTGAGCACCACTGTATGCCTGCTGTCATGTCAGGCCTTTGGGAGATCACAGTAAGGAAGGCAAATTCCCAACTCTTTTTCCTGTTGAAGAGACCCTATTCACGCTGTATGTCATTCCTTCATGAATAACTGCACATCAGCCTGGTATGCAGTATCAAGTAAGCAGAACCACTTATAAATGTGTGACATAAGTTAGTTCTTTCAAGAAAAGGATGATCTTAAAGAATGCATAGATTTTTGTCCATCCTACTTTGGGGGGGTAGGGTCCTTGAGTGTCTAAATTATCAGAAATCAGACATTCCTTTGGGGGAAAAGCTAGAAAAACAATAGTAAAAGCAAAAAACAAGAACATAAAGTTGCTTATTTCACTGTTTGGATATTATAACACATTTGAAAGATCTACAAACTGGAGAAGTACAAACTATGAGGTCAGTCTCACTTGAACTTAAATTACAAATCCTTCATTTACCAGGTGGATGACTCTGGTCAAGTTTCCCTTGCCTTTCTGAGCTTCTGTTTCACATTTGTAAGACCCAAAGTGATAATGAGAACTTCTCAACAATATCAAGATTCAATAAGCAAGCACATACAGAGTGTGGAGAACCGTGTCCAGCATAGAGAAGATAGAATATGATACTAACATAGTCTAGTAATGAAATAAATAAGTTTCATTTCCATTTATAACAACTTTCTTTTAGTGTCAATTCTTTTTAGCTTTTAACTCCTATTAAATGTATTTTTATATCTAAGCAACTTGTCGGCTTCTGACCAGAAAACTGAATTGTTTTGATCCACAGAACCAAGATCTATGAAGTCATTTACTGCATTAAGGAGATGTGTCTTAGGCCGGGGACTGTATGGTCTCACAACCTCTCTCACCAGCAGCCACCTCAGACTAGTGAAATGTGGACCTGATTCTTGGTTCCACCCACACCTGACTTGATGGGTCTGGTTTGGACTTCAGAGGACTCTGCCCAGCATCATAGGGTAGAGAAATCTACCAGGACACCATTCTTGGCACAAAGGGCCACCCCTGGGGGTTCACCAATTTCCAAGCCCCCTGAGCAGAGAAAACGGTCAGCCTGCAAAGAAGATCCTGACCAACTCCCAAAGAAATGCTGATCAGCAGCCAGCATTTTGTTTCTCAAGTTTGACCTTGCCATGGCCTTGAGTATTGCCTGGAGGTTTTCCCCATCAGCAAACATGAAGTTTCTCAAGTTGCAATTCTGATGGAGATGAACGCAATTTGAACCCTTCTCAGGGGAGGAGTGAAGGGAAATTGAATCTTAGCAATGTTCAAGTTGAGGAACATAACTTTACACTAAGCATCAAAACCAAACAGTTATTCACCTCACTTGACACATGTTCGGTGATGCTGTGGTGCACAAATCTTTGTAACAAGAGCTTCTTTTGATGCACTACAGAGAGAAATGGCCATCAGAGTCCTGTGTGACAGGGTACAAATAACACTTCATTGTTTTCATCCCCATGTACCATTCTATATGGACCTAAGGGCTCCTCTGAGTTGGCCACTAAAGAGAGAATCTGTGACACTGGGTGTCTAGCTGCAACCTGGGCAAGCCAGCCTGAATCAGACTGGAGTGTTGCCCAGAACAGCTATAAATAGGTATTTTCTTTGGTGCGATAGACATTGTCACCCAAGAAGGGGCTCATTGTTTGGGCCTGAGCAGCACCAACATGGATCAAGTAAGTGGTGGAAGACAGGAAAGGAGGCTGAAGGTCCAGATCAGAGGTTTTAAAAGTGAGTAAGTACTAGTCAAAGGAAGGCTCAGTTGTGACATTATTGGCCTCAGAGTGCTGGCTGCTTTATAAGCATTTAACTAGGTCCCAAGCCTCATGGTCTGTGACTCACTAGTTGGCAATTTCCGAGATGTCAGGGTAGGGTTCCAAGTCGGCAAAGATGTCATTAGGGTTCCTACAGGTCAGATTGCAAAAGCAAGCATTGATCCACAGGACCTTGCGGGAAAAGCCAGGCCCCTCTGGACACTGGAAGGAGACATCGATTGTCCTGGACTTGTAGGGGATGCAGCACCTGTTGTCCACGCAGATTCCACAGTACTTGGGCCGGTAGGAGTGGGTGCTGACGCAGCCTGCCAGAGTGAAGTTGATGGGCACCTCTGGCTGGAAAACAGCCAGACACTTCTTCCCTTCCTGCAGGAAGTGAAAGGAGCTCCCAGTTAGGATGGTCAGAGAAACAGCCCCCGTCTTCTCCCCAACCCTTCTCACTCATCGTGACAGCTCCTCCGAGCAAGGAAGAATTCTGACAACAGCAAGACCCAGTCACATTAGACAGGAGTAAAATGAGGGTCATGAAACAATTGCTTTGCTGAGGCTTTGCTGAGTTTGGATCTCACAGCCTACGATCTCCCTCTTCTCCTGAATTTCTGACTTGCTAATGCCTAATTGTCACAGTTTCGCCAACAGAGGAAACTGATAGCCCTTTCAACCAACTGAGCACTCCAGCTAAGTAATGGCAGAGTCGGCACAGGTACTGTACAGTCAGGGGAAGGCTTTACCCGAGCTTCTGTCCTATGTATACCCAGTTTGCTCTGCACACTGAACACGCAGCCTATTCAACAGCACTGACATCATCCAACGGTGACTGTCCTCCCGTGGGGTTGAGGAGCCCAGGGGGCTCTTTCTGCCTCTCTATGGTGTATGAGATGTGATTGAAAAATATGGTAACTTTAACTTTCCAAACTTATTACAGTAAAAGACACATTGCCGTTGATTCTTATCAAAGTCCTCCCCCTGGCTAAGAACACACTTAGCCCATCATGCATCCTGTTTTCTGAAGCAGTTCTCAAGGTCCTCTGTAGCAAGCACCTTTTTCATTGTCCTGTTGTGCCTGTTCTGCTGTCCAGAATTGACTCAAAACATTTATATTTGTGGTCATTTTGACTGTGAGGAAGAGCTAGAAGTTGCAAGGTGCCAGGTGATTGAAGTGGAGGGGCCACCCCATCACGCCCTCTGAGCCTGCCTTTTCCTTGGGTGGCACTCGGCAGCAGCATTCACCATTATGTTTTAAAATCCCGCTTTACAAACACAGCTATGAAGCAGAACTTCCAGAACCACCTCAGAAAGCGATTAAGAATCACAGCATAAATGTGTTTGAAGCAAGGAGGACTTCCAAGACGGGTTATTTTTTAAACTTTAAACATGCACCACGTATTTTGATCACCCTTATAATGTCATGCCTGGTACACAGTAGGCACTTACTAAATGCACTGAACCCATGGTTCTTGGAACTGAGTCTGTACCAGAAATGGCAAAGCTGGGGTGAAGCAGATCCAGGCATGAGGCATATATATTCATGGGACCTATTTGGGGCACAATCATGGGAACAAAACTGGGTGTTGGCATGTCCCTAGCTGCTGCTTCCTTTCCCTTCACTCCCAGTGCAGAATGTCTACTAAGCTCAGCACCTGCCGGGCATGAAGCACCGAGCATACAAAGGCCAGCACAATGGAGGAAATAGAGAGGAAGAAAGAGAAAGAAAAGAGAAAAAAGAAGGAGAAATGGGAAGAATTCTTCTAGGGGATCAGCAAGTGCTGACCAGCGAAGTTGTTCCCAAGGCAAGGAGTGAGGCTGGACATTTGAAAAGGACAGCAGGAAGCCGGGCTGTCCTGTCTGCAGGGAAACTGTCCCCTCAGCACCCCCAGGAAAACACCTGGCCTCCGAAATGGAACCAGAACTGAGCTTTGCTTAGTTTTGCTTTGTCTCCTGACTCCCAGCTAAGGTGTGAGAGAGGAGCAGTGAGCTAAGCAAGCAGAGCCCAGGACTGGTTGAACACTGGATGCAGCCTCTGGGACCCTGTGTATCCCTGGCATTTTATTTCCATCATCTGAGACTCTCAGAGCTGGAACAGCTTTAGAGATGAATACAGGCTGGGGGATCTGAGCCCAGCAGTGTGAGGAGACTGGCCAGTCGTGTGCCCACAATGGCAGAGGACACCTGACTCCGCCTGTTGGAAGCCCCCTTTAAGCTCCTCAGGATACCCATACGGCTGTCCTAAGTTCTGGGGCCACAGGGTGTGGAATGGTATGGTTGGCAGGGTAGAAGTTAGTGAATGTCCCTCAGAATCATCGCAAAAGAGCAGTGTGGAGGGTCTCTGAGCTCCCCTGGGAGTGGCCTTGATTCTAATAAGATGGTAACTCCTTTCCTTGAGTGAAATCCACAATTCACCAGCCTAAAGATCGAATTCACTGAAAATCCCAGGTTGCTTAATTTTCCCGTTTCACATGTGGCTCCAAATGGAAGTTCAAGAGCTAGCCTCGAAGCAGGCTTGTTTGCTTGTCGGTTCCAGGCACCTATCTCTGTCCACCTCGGACCCACCTTGATGTGCAGCCGGATGTCCACGTCGCATGGCCGTAGGTTGCACAGGCGGCTTTCCTGCTCGGGCCAGCACTGGGCATTGGCATTGGAGATCCGCGTGGAGATGCCTAGGCCACAGCTAGTGGAGCACGGGCTCCAAGGGCTGGTGTAGGGTAAGCAGTTCCCATGCCAGGGTTCCATGTCACTGATAGCTGCTGAGCAAAGATACCAGAGTCCCCGTGAGTCTCTAGTCACCAGCCACCCATGACCCTAACCACCACCCCAGGATGGAGGCTGGGGGTCTCCTAAACTTGGAGAGAGCAGCTAGGGACAGAGATAGAACAACAAAAACTGCTGCTCTTTCCCACTAGAGAAAAAACTGGCTTCTGACCAACACAGATACCCAGGGACAGAGGCCACATTCCAAGGTCCTTATATTCTTCTGATCAAAAGAAGAAGCACAGCACGTGGAAGGGAAATCATCTTCAGAGACAGGTGGACCCAAATTCAAATCCTGCCCTCCTGCATTCTAAGCTGTGTGATCTTGGATGCCTCTCACAGGGCCTCAGCCCGCTGTTTAGAAGCACAGCATCTGCTCAGAGTTGGTGGGGCTTGGATGGTTTCTATACCAAGACGGGCTGAAAATGAGAGGCTGGGGAGTTGCTGTCTTTAGCCCTGCAGAGGTAAAATTGATTTGGGAGAGTTCAAAGGTGAGGACCCACATTGTAGCACCTAACCCTTCATTGGGGTGACACTGGGGAGGTGGCAGACCAGGGGACTCCAGACTTCAGAGTCTAACTCCTCCTGGGTTCAACTGTCAGCACGGATGCCTCCAAGCTGTATGAGTCTGAGAGCTCATAATACCTCTGTGTCCCAGGCCATTTCTCTGCCAAGGGACTGGCAGCACATGGTCCTCTGGGGCTGGGGTCTAAAAAGACAGTGATCCTGGCCCTTCATGAACTACAAGTCCATAAGCGCTGGAGGGTTACTCTCAGGCGGTTCTGTGGACGCCCGCATGCCCAGCATTGAAGCAAGTGGCCATGCAGTTGGTATCTGAGACGTGGCTGCTCCTGAGCTAGAGACAGACAGGGGCAGGTGAGGGACTGGCAAGAGAGAAGACACCTGCCTGCATAAAGAGGGGACGGACACACACAGGGGAAAACTCCATCTGGCCACAGACCCAGGGTACGGCAGAGAACAAGAAAGTGTCAAGTGGACAGGGAAGGGATGGGAAGAGATGGAAGGGCAGGGAAAAGAGAGGAGATGAGGAAAGGGAGGGAAAGGGGTCAGGGGGAAGAATAGGGGAGGTAAGAGGAACAGGAGAGAAGAAGGAGCTTCATAGGCTGAGGGGAGAAGAGAAGGGAAGTCTGTCCGTCCGAGGGACACAGAGGAGCTCAGGGTACACTGTAAACATGTGCAGGGAGGAGTGGGGAGAGAGGACGCCTCTGCAGACGGGACTCAGAAGCACCAGCACAGGGGAGGCGGGGCAGGCTGAGCCAGGCTGTAGCATCTGGGAGTCTGAGGCCGGACTTGGAGAGGGATTTGTCTGGAGGATGAAAGGCTTTGTTTTCTAGGTCGCTCAGAAGCCTCAGCACTGTAGGGGCTCTGCTTGTGCTAGGTCAGAATGGGGTCACTGGGCCACACAAAACGTGCAGACAGCCTCTGCCTCCCCCTCCACCACCCAGTGACCCTCATGTGGCCTTGCTGAGGGGGCTGCAATGCAACAGCTGTCCTGCCAGGGAGCAGCTTTGCCTGCCACTTCTTACCATCCACAGGGAAGGCTTTTCCACCAGGGCACTTTTGTTCCCCAGCACAATTGCCAGTGTCTGGAGGTATTTGGGATTGTAACACTTTGGGGACCACCTCATCTACACTATTTGCATGCAGAGTGGAGGCCAGGGTGCTACTAACAGCTGCTGCCACAGAGTCTCAGGTCTTGAGTGCTACCAGTGCCAAAGCTGAGAACCTACACAGTCCCTGAGTGATCTCATGCACTTGAAATGGTTTTCAAAATCAGCAATATATGTTGGCCTCCCGAACTCTGGGCTATTATTTTGCCACTTCATGCCTGCTTGCCTGACAGGCACTTTCCTCTAGCACCATTCCTGTCTTGTCTTCCAAGGCATCAGCTGCTCCCTATTTTTCTTTCTGACCTTCCTCTTGTCTCTCCCTCAGCTCTTGCCCACCTGGTCACCCCCAGAAGGCCAGACCTTCCCTGACCTCCACCCCAAGCCCTTTCTCTCCCACTATATTATCCTAGGCCACCCTGGCCCACCATCAGCAGCTGCAAGAAGGTGGCTTCAGAGCTCTCCCCCTGCATCGCTGGACACTCTTCCATGTGCACCAGGCTGCAAGCTCAACCTGTGACTCCCACGTAGATCTCTTTAGCAGGTTGCTCTTGCTTTTCCTGCTTGGGAACCTTGTGCCCCAGGAAGTGTTCCCATTCCTGCTTCTATTTCATCCTAGGCATGGATTGGATACCAACATCTGCAGTCTTACTCCAGCAATGTCTTCTGCATCTTTCCCTTTCCCTCTTTCCCACTTTCCCATCTTTCCCACTACCCTAGCTCAGACCCTCATTAGTCCATCCATCCATCCATCCATTCATCCATCCATCCATTATCTGTCCATCCATCCATTTACCCATCCAACTGACCCTCCACCTAACCGTCCATCCACTTATCTTTCAATAAATCCACCCACCAGTCCTTCTAAACATCTGCTCATCCGTTCATTTATTCATCCATTGATTCACTTGCCCAAATGACAAACATTAATGAGGCACCTGCTAACTGTCCTGCACTGGGCTAGATTTCAGAAGGGAGTAAAGAAACAAACAAATCTTTCATTGTCTTTCCTTTCCAGGGCTTCCCATAAATAGGATTACCTAGCTGAAACCTCACTGGCCCACCTATCCCCTGTGGTAGGGGGAACCCAGATAAAGCCATATTCTCCCTCCCTATATTGCTTCTGCTGCTCAGGCCTCCCTCTTATACCCACATGCCTACCTACCTCCAATCACCCCCATATTCTGTAATAGGTAATAATAGAGTATGCTTGTGGCTTTTGTTCTTTGCAAAGTACTCCCTCCTTTTATTCTGGGAGGATCTCATAAGACTGACAGAAGATGGGAAAATTTCTATCTTACAGGTGGGAAATGGGTATCCTGTGTGCTGTGACTTTCCCAAGCCTGCCCACCTAGGGAACTACGAACAGGATACTGGGTCTCAGGATCCAATTCGTAGTTCCCAGCATTCTGTGATGCCCAGATTCTATGCCTGCACCTACCCAGGGCTGTGGTGTCACCCAGCACAGTTTGTCGAGGTCTCCAGTCATCATCTTCACACACCCACTGCTCACAGCACTGGCCTGGCACTCTTACACGTCGGGGCTGGTGGCACCAGAGACGTGGAGGGCGTGCACGGAGGCACAACGGCGTGCATCCCACCGCACCACCGATGCATGTGCAGTTGTACCTGCAGCTGGGCTGGAAAGACTCCCCGTTGCTGTAACGCACTCCATTCAAGACGCAGCCCACGCCGACCACCTCTGCAAACACAGGCAGTACCCGTCATTCGGTCAGGCAGCTGAGAAGGGCAACACCCAGGACAGGGACCCAGGAAGCTTGCTGCCCGGAGCATCCTCAGCACAAAGTTTGGTCCTGACACATATGTGCCTGCCCAAAGGGGGGCAGACATCTGAACAAGCCAGAATGCCTTGTGTGGCCTTCTCTCAGAGCTTGGTGACCTAGAATGTGCCACCCTTGGAGAGCATGTATTGCGGGAAGGGTGGCACAAGGAAAACATCCAAAGAGGTTACACAGAGTGTCAGTGGTGTCAGTCACTGGTAACACATGTCCAGGAAAAGCAGAATGAGGGTGTATACCTGGGATTGGGAGGTGGAAGACGGAGGGCTTGGTTGAGGTGAGGATGTTCCCTGCCCCAAAAACCAGGAAGGAAGAAGTGAGCCAGCCAGAAGGTGGAGGAGGGTACCATCACAGGTGTGTAGGTCACAGATGGAGGGAGAAGAGACAGGGGAGGAAAGGGAGGAGAAAGCGGTGGTGCAGACATGGCTTCCTCTAGGCTTACAGGAAGGGGCAAAGCCTAGAACTTTGCCTGGCACAAAGCAGGTGCTCAGTAGGTCCAAGTTTGAAAGAATGACAAAATGTGCTTCATAAAAATACTCTTGGTGCTGTAGAGGATTGATGGGAGAGGAGCCAAAGGCAGCATCTGGAGGCCAACAGAGTGTCCCAGCCAGTGGCAGCTGGGAGCAACGAGGGACACATAGCCATGGGTGGAGGTGTTGGGGACCTGGCTATGCAAGGGTTAAGTTGCCAGTTGCAGTGTTCCAAAGACAAGATAATACCACAGATGGGCAGCTGAGAAAAGGGCTGTCATTCCCCACTCCTGATCAATAAACTAATAAACTGCCAACCTTTGAGATAAGACAGCCCTGCTAATTGGCAAGATTTACCACCTCAAGAATATCTTTGTTTCAACTTCTCAAGGTCCTGCTTAGTTTCCCACCTTTGCCTCAACTTTTCTTTTCACTTTGCCTCATGCCCCCATCCTGTACAATCCAATAAATATTTGCTGACTAGAAAAATCTTTATCTTAACTCTGAGAGAGAGAGAGAGAGAGAGAGAGAGAGAGAGAGAGTTCTGACCTTCCTGAACTGCCCAAAAAAACAATATTTGCATTTTCTTTATTTAAGCCATTTCCATAAGTTCATCTCTGAGACCTGGAGCCTGATCAGTTCCCAGTGCACAGAACTTGGCTTCTGGGTGCATTTGGGAAGACAGCTGTGAAGTCATGCAGTGGCAGGTGCAAGGGTGAAGGACTCCTGGCTCTGTAGAAGGGAAGTAATGCTCTGTCACCCCCAGAGGAGCAAGGCTTCGGTTAGGCAGATGAAACAGTCCATCATTAGCTGTGAGACGGCTGGTTCACAAGGTGCCCACTGCCTGGAGGAGGGGCAATTTGCAATCTGCAGTCTGGCTGTAGTTCTATCTTCTCCTCTGGGTTTTCCCAGGGCACTGACTCCGAACCTTTACCCTAAGATCTTCCAGGAGTGCAGGTTGTCCCCAGTGCCCCTCAGAGACCCCTTTGCTTAACTTTTATTGCTTTATTTTATCTCATTCTAGATGGAAATGCGTTACCATCTTCATATGTAAAACTGAAACTCAGCAAGGTGGAGTCAAGTGTCCAATGTGACAACAGTGGGCAGCAGAGGGTCAGTATATGTGCACCTCACTGTGTCTATAGTATGTCCTGGAGGGGGGCTACCCCAGGAGGAGGTGCAGAAAGGCAGGTCCCAGTGCCGGTGACCACCTGGTCATCTGCTGGGTACCACCTGGTCCATGAACACTTGTAGGTTCCCAAGTGATTTCATCAGAAGAGTTTTATTGTCTTCATTGCGACTCATTTGCTCAAGGTGGTGACACTGGTGAGGGACAGAGCTGGGACTCTAGCCCAGGAGAGCTGACTCCAGGGTTCCTTTTATTCCCAGAGGCATCAGAGGAAGTTGAAAGCAAAAGGAAAGAAAGGACAAGCAAGTCGAGGAGGAGGAAGCAGGAGTGAATCTCACTGCAGTGTGTTAAGAATCATCCCTGACCACATCCTCTTACTCGAGGAAGATGTGTGAGTTTCTGTGTGCACATGTGCATGAATGTTTGTGGGTGGATGGACCAGGAGGGGCTGGGAAAAGCTTTGGCTCTGGCCCTGTAGGTGGTGATAAAAGGCAAATGGTGTTGGGGACCTGGAATCGGTGACTTGGGATCCCCAGTAGAAGCAGCTGAGGAGCCTTTGAAGAGGCGGATGCCCTGGGTTTGCTCTAGAATACGAAGGTGTCTTCCATTCTCAGCATCAGCATTTTTCAAATACTGGGGTGGTATCTCCCCAGGTGAAGCCTGCTTGTAACTGAGGTTGGTAACCAGTGTCTAGGAGATGCCTTGGGTGGGGACACGGGTTTGGAGGGTATTGCTGCTGGCTGTGGAAAGTCTGCCCTTCGGCTGGGTGACAGTTGTGGATGGTGCCATTGGAGGGCTCAGGGTTTCTCTCATTCACTTTTTTCCTGTGTAAACAAAGGACCAGCTCGTGGTGAGGCAGTGAAGCAGCCACTTCCTGCCCATCTGCTTTGCACGTGCAGGTGTGTAGCTTTCCTCTCACTGGGGGGCTTCCAGGAAGTCCTTAATGTTCCCTAGGGCCTGCACTCCCTTTACTCACACCGCTGGACATCCTGTGGGGCAGTGCAGTGGGCAGGTCCTGTGGTAACCTCATCCTGGATTTGGCATTCATCTATGTTCTCTTTAGGAATAACTCCATGGGCAGATGGATGGATGGATGGATGGATGGATGGATGGGTGGATGGATGGATGCCTGTGGCCTGGGGAAGCCAATCTTTATTGAGTAGCTACTACCTAAAGGCGTGTGGCATCTGACAACCTAGACAGGATGGAATATTGTCACACTGTCCTTGATGAGGAAACAAGCTTGCATGGTTGAGTGGCTTGCCTTAATTCTTAATGCTGGTTGGCCATGATGCAGGGATTCCAACTCAGATTGCCCGGAGGACCCTGCCTCGGTTTACTGGTCCCGAATGTCAGACTGGGGAACCGGGCCTGGAACTAGATCCTGGTCTCTTCTGAGCTGACCGTGGAGAGGGCGGAGATGATTTCTGCAAAGGAAACTTAAAGGCACCCACAGCCCAGAGCAGGGGGCACCCTTCTCTTTTTGCCGTTTAGTTGCACTTCCTTGTTTATTGCTCAGCCTCACATGAGGGTGGGGCCCGCAACCTCCATGAGGGATGTGAGCACAGTCACGTCGTTGGCAAACAGCTGAGCCAGGATTCAAAACCCAAGCCTGTGTGCCTGTAAATGTCACCATCCTCCTACCAAACCACTCTGCCCTCAGGTCTGACCCGCCTGCATTAAATGTAGTATTTGTGCTGCAGAAATAGCCAAGCAGCCCAACCGAGAATTTGCTCTCTGCCCTTCAGATGTATTTAGTTTGGCCTGCAGAGAGTTTTTTTAAAAACATTTTTAAATCTAGTGCCAACATTTACAAATCACACACAGGTCTGATCTGGGGATTCTCTCGGAAACCATGAGGGCTACTCAGAATCAGGCTCACTGCCTTAGCCACAGTGCCTGGGCCACAGGAAGGGGAGCCCTGATAGCCCCAGCTTGTGAGTGCCAACTGGCCACCACTTCTTTCATGTTGTCTGAGTTATATGTACCAGAGGTGCAATTCTCATCCTTATTGCCTGCATTAAATTGGCCTAATTACATGCACTTTTTCAAAGACAGATTAGCTTGTCCTGGAGACTGTCCCTTAGCTGAATAAACATTCCCGGAAAGCTTGTCTGTTAGGGACTATTCTTTATCTTCGATCACTGGCTCAAAGGCATCTCCTCCTCTATGCATGCAGATCCCGAGTTCTCTTCTTTCTTGCTCTGGGGTCTCACAAACTCTGATGCTATATCAGCATTTCTATGAAAGGTTATAGTAGAACACAGTTGAGTTTTGCATGTGTGTGTATGCACAGTAGGCATCTAGTGTGTGTGTGTGTGTGTGTGTGTGTGTGTGTGTGAGTGTGTATGTGTCAAGTGAGTAAGAATGTACCTGGACAAAACAATTTAGTGTCCAAATAAGTTGAAATGAGAAGGCCTCACAGTTGGTTCTTTTGGAGCTTGGCAGTGAGTGACATGCACACCTTGCATCTCTGAGAAGGTTGTGACACCTGTTCATCTTTAGTCCCCTACAAACTCTATGATCTGGTGACATATGAGACCACAGATGAGCTCACAAATGAGCTTCTTGAGACCACAGTGTGTGTTTGTGTGTTTTTCTGAGGGAATGTAAACAAACAGAAGCTCACTGTGTGTGAACAGCTAAGCTATTGTGGATGGAAGCGAAACCTGAGTTGCGAAGGCATGAGGATGAGAGGATGGGAAGGTGGTTTTCCAGGCCTCTGGTAAAGACAGCAAGCAAGACAGGCAGTGTCTGGCTCCACGAGAGAACATCCATAAAGGCACAACACCTAGTATGTGATGAGATCTTGAACACATTTAGAGATTAGCAAAGCCACGGTGAACTGAATTACCATCCAAATGACCTTGGAGATGAGTTTTCAAATGTGAAAGGAATTGTGAGATGATTCTTTATACCTGAAGGTGGTTCTAACTGGGAGTGTCTTTGGGCCAGATGGTCCTCCTTGGGCTACTAGAAAGGGTCAGCAGCTGACAGTGTGTATTGGCAGCTGGGCTGGAACTGATGCAGGCATGAGAATTCCCTAAGGACCTCGTGAAAGGTACAGATTCCCATCTCTGCTTCCAGGGGCTCGGTGCAGAGATTCCAATCCGGGACTTGGGAGTGACTTGTTTTAATCAGCACATGAGATGGTTTTGTGCAGGTAATGCTGCAAATTCTCTTTGACACATTCTTTTGTAGATAATAGTCTACATAACAATTAATCTAAGTAAAACGAAGAAAAATTGGAAGGATGGGTGAAGCAGGGTGAATGCACATGAAGTCACAGACACATGGTTTGATACAAAAGTTAAAGGATGAATCAATGATAATAGAGAAGAGGGTGCCGTAAATTAGCCGTGATGCATTGTGTGACTTTGAATTATGGTCAGAACCCTGGTCAGCATCTACTTCAGGAACCGTGTAGGCTAAGAAGAGATTATACCATATGAGTATGGACCGGAGCGTACCAGAAGTCACATTTAGGGGGAATTCTTGATTCAGCATTAGGGAAAAAAGCGATTCTTGGTTTTTATGAGATTTTTATAGCACTTTTCAGGAGTGAAGCTGCTGTATCACGTGTCTCATTATCTGTCTTTATCATGCTATGTTGTATAATTTTGGAAATGTTTAGATGATTTGAACTAACAAAGTACATGGTCAGATAGCAGGTTGCCAGAAGGTCCCAAGAAGGAGGTCTCTGATAACAGAAAGGGACAGAATGCTCAGGATGAAAAATGAAAGCCTGCCCTGCAAACGCAAAGATACTGTGAAGGTAAAGAGCAAAGGAAAAGAAAACCAATGATAATCTCCAGGGAAACCAAAAGATATTGTTAAAAATAGAAATTGAAACAAATACACTACTTTGTGAGCAATATTCACATAATCATAATATTATAAATGCTGACAATCACAAAACCAAAAGTTTTGATGACATTTGGGTGATAAATGAGGTCTTAAATTGTACAAAATCAATATATCAAACCAATCAATATATAGCAGCAGGTGTAAATAACAGTACTGGCTGACTAAAAACTTTTGTAAAAATGACTTTAGTAACTGAAAGAACATGATTAATAGAAAGGGGTAGTTGCACGCTGCTGGCTTTCATTATTTCAAGGCTACTAGATTTAAAATATTTACATTTGCAATATTCCTAAAATATCTGCAGCTCTGTAGTGACCCAATGTCGATGGGAGGCTGTGGACGTCTGTCAGAGGGCCGAGCTGCTAAACCATGGAAGCCAGCTTGGAGCTCCTGGTGGAACCTCCTTCCCCAGGGCATTATGTCTCCAGGACCAAGAAGTGAGCAAAAAATGAGGTTCTGGAGCCAAAATAGAACGCATGTATCCCTCCCTCCCTAGGAAGACCCAGCCATGACCTGAGATAGTATGCACCTCCAGCCACACTAAGGCATGGCCAGGGGAAGGGTGATGGGGGCGTAAGGAGGGGTGCCTGGGCAGCACTGGGCATGGGACCGGTCAGAAGTAGAGGCTCTCACTTACGTGCACACACTCCTATTGCGTACCTCGGGCGGTCCCTGCTATAGTCACAATAGAGGCCCCGGTGGGGGTCGCAGATGGCAGCCTCTGTGCAGTTGTCCCCCAGCTGCTGGGCACATATCTTACAGCATTCACAGCCGTCTGTGATTAGACTGACCCCCAGCGGGCAGCGGGGCGGTGACGGTGGGCACTCACATGGCCACTTGCAGAATTCGAGGTGTGAGGCTGTGTCTTCCACTGGTGCTGGAGTGACGCCCATGGTGGCGGGGGCTGGAGAGAGGGTCTGTGGGGGAGGGGAGGGGTGAAGAGAGGCTGTTGAGACAGGAGTTTCAGAGCCTGGAGGACCCTAGTGTCACCTTCCTTTTTGGTGTTCAAAAGGATTTCATAATTTTTCTACTATGCATTGCTTGAGCAGAGGCACAAATAATTTCCTGGTTCCCAAAGAAAGAGCGGATGGAAGGACTCAGGGGCTGGGTGTGAGAATGTGAAGCTGCCTGTGTCTTGGGAGTCCAGTTACCTTCCTGCCACTCTGGCCACCTCCCTGCACTCCATCCAGGCCTCTCCATCTGCACTGGAAGAGACCACATGCAGGGGAAGGAGAGAACCTCCAAAGGGTACAGACAGACAAGGTAGAGCCAGATTTCACACAAGCTGTTATATTCTAGATTTAGATCTAAAACACCCCTCAAAGTCTCATGTGTTCAGAAGTGGAGCTTTTGAGAGCCCATTGGGTCATGGGGACACTATACTTATGCGTAGATTGATCCATTGCTAAGTTTATAGCTAACCCTGCTGCCAGGAGGTTGGGCCCAGATGGAGGTGGGGTACTGGGAGCACAGTGTAGACTCCTCCGTTTCCTACTTTCTCTGAGGCCGTGGGATGAGTAGGTGTCTCCCACCATGTACCTCCACCTCATGGTTTCTTCCATGGAGTCAACTAACCATGGACTGAATCTCCCCTGAAATGTGAACCAAATTAAACCTCTCTTCCTTTTTTTTTTTTTTTTTTTTTTTTGTCTTTTTCCTTTTTATCGGTACCAGGGATCAAACTCACTGCCTGCTTGCAAGGCAGGCGCTTATGCCGCTGAGCTAAATCTCCAGCCCCCTAAACCTCTCTTCCTTATATTGGGATTATTGGGTGTTTTGTCCCAGAGTCAGGAGTTAGTGAAGTAACTGACTGACCGGCCCTCCCACTGCCAGGCCATGGAGCATTTGTCCAGGACTTCTCAATGTCATGCATGGATTTTGGGGTGAGCAGAGGGGCAGCTAGGGCTTCCGTGGGGCTTTGGAGGTGAGCCCAAGGGGCCCAGCTGTGTATAAATCTGCATTTCCTTCTTGTACCATGGTCGGGAGGCTGGGCATTCAGACGGATTTGTCCTCTCCTGAAGAACGAGTAGACCCAGAGAGTCTACAGATACATCCAGTCTGTGTTCAGGCCCAGACACAAACGAATCAATCATTCCCATCTGACAGCCTTTGCATTCAGCTCCTATGAGGTCTTCTATCCACCAAACAAATGGTATCCGAGCCAGCCTACAGCCCCTTCTGTTTTATGCATTTGAAGAAATACTTAAAAATTCTCAGTACTTGGAGAACACACTGCTTATGGCAAAGCAAAGCTCACAGGAGAGACACCCTGACTACCGAGCCCTGGAGAAATCCTGGAGGGACAGCAAAGCCAGGCACTGGACATGACTTGTTCCCTGCAGCAGGAGGCATTGAGTACCCAGCGAAGTGGTGGGTGCCGGAGGAGGCCTGCGGACTCTCCAAACCCCACACAGGAATTGCTGTGCTCACTGGAGCAGAGTGCTCCCTGGCCACATGGCCAGGAGGCCTAGAGGTCAGCTGTTGTGTGACCTGAGCCCTAGCACCCAGCCCAGCACATCACAAGCTTAGTGAACATCGATGCATCTCAGCTCAATTTCACATCCACTCCTTTTCAATCCTGAGGACTTGGCAGTATGGTTCGCTGAGGCAAGATGCACTTCCTGCCTCTACACCAAGGCCCTTCCTCTGTGAGCACCATACTGACCACTGACCAGCTGCCAGCCTGGCTTTCCCTCACGTTCTGTGCATGTAGGACCACCAAGACTGTTCGTGCGTGCACATATGTGTGTGTGTGAGGTTAGAGTGTGTGTGTGCCCTGGGGACAGAGCCACCCTGCTTTCAGGTTCTCATCCAGCGCCTGGCACAGGACCCTCCTCTCTGGGGACATGGGGGAGCAGTGAGCAGGTTGGCTAAGGAGGCCGGGACCACAGCGTCTCCAGGGAAGGGGACCTTAGGGCAGGAGACAGAGCTCTCTGACACTGCTGGGCTCCCTGGGTCCTGGACACTTTCAGGTTCTGACTCTCAAACCTGGGGAGCCTCACAAGAAGCCAGAAGCCATCTCTGATGAGTCCTCGGGCTGTCAGGAGCCGCTCTTGGCAGAGAAACATCCTCCCTCAGGAGCCCTTCTGCTGGCTCCAGGTGTGTCATGGGACCCCTGGCTTAAAAGGGCTTTGTCCTCCCTTGATATTCAGGCTCCCACATCCTGGCTCTCCCCTCTCAGTACTAACTTTGGGCCAAGGAAAGAAGGTGAGTCCTTTTCCTGTGACCTTGAACAAGCTCCCTGACTTTCTAGAGCCAGGGCATTCTTTTTCGTGGCATGGGCACAGGAGTGCCCGCTCCAGGAATATTGGGACCTGAAGACTGACTGCGGAAGTGGCAGGGCTGGCATAACGTTCCCAGTGCCCCTGCAGCACCACCTGGCTGCACAGCTCCTTGCCCCGCAGTGCCCAGCACAGGGCTGGCGGTACAGACGCTGCAGCGCTGCAAGCTGGCTGGCACCCAGTGCGCCCCAGAGGCCTCCTAAGGCGTGGAGGGACCTCAAGATCCTGGCGCGACAGTCCGTGCCGTGTGCGCCATCTAGCGGTAGTGAAGCAGCCAAACAGTTGATCGGGTTCCTGGACCAAAGCTCGGGAAACCTCTGGACCCCAGGACTGAGGGCTCCTCGGTATGGAATGTGTCCCTCTGATCACTGTTGAAATGACAGCATTCATTCACTCACTCAGTAATCCACTCATTCAGTTCTCATTAATTCTTTTAGTCATTCATTCATTTGTTCTTTTACTTTCCATTCCATCTGCTCACTCAAAATCTCTCTAATCAGCTTTTACTACTTGCCAGGTCCTGCTGTGGGGGCAGAGGACACAGTGGGGACCAAAGGGACCCGCCATAGAAGACAGAGGGGGCAGTTGTGGGGAGGCTACAGTGGGCTTCCTGAGGGGTGGGGTGAGAAGTAAGAGCAGAATAGAGCTGTGAGAAAGAGGGAGGGACCAGCTGTGGGAACCCTGGCATGTGCAAAGGCACTGTGACAGCACTGCATGCACTGACCAGTGTGTGCCGAGAAGTGTGGCAAGACCTGGCATGAATCCCACATCAGAAATGGGAGGAAGTGGAAGCTGGATGGGCCTCAAGGGCCAACAGTACAGCACAAGTCAAAGAGTGCCTCATAGGGCCTGCTGGAGAGCTTCTCTCAAGGACTGGAGGAAGGCAGGATTGTGGGGGCAGATTTGTGCTTTAGAAAGGCCATGCTGGGTCAGCATATTCCTGGCCACGCTCATGGAACTCTGGGACCCCTCTCCTGGCCTTGGTTCTCCCCTCCTCAGATGACAGAGGAGAGAACCTACTATTACTTATCTCCGAGAGGAAAGGAGCCAGCTGTGGCTGCTCAGTCCTGCAAACCATCACCCTTCTGATCACTTGAGGCCCATCTGCTGCTGCCCTCCGATATTCCCGCTGACTTTATGTTTTCCTGTAGTATTCCCATCTTACACATCAGCAAACCGATTTTCTCACCGCCGTCCAGAAAGCAGAAGATCACTTCAGATTTGGGTTTTCCCTAATACTGTGAGTGAAAGAGAATTTTCTAGTGAAAGAAACTGTCTGGGAGGAAATAAGGAGCCATCTGTGAAAGGCACCAAGAGGCAACTGGACACCTCTTGGACTGGCGGTTCTAGAGGGGATCAGGCATCAGAAAGCCCAGCACAAGATGAGCGTTAATAAGCGTCTATGGATAGAATGAGTTACCCACGTATCCTCAAGTATACTGTAGGAATTTCACTCCTGCTTGATGGGGCTCAGGGCCCGGCCTTGGCGATTCTTAGGGGAGCAGAAGCTGCTGCCTTAAAATACCACAGAGCACACCATGGGGAAGGACAGGGTGGGACTCCTGGTCTACCTGCTTCTTGCCCTGCACAAATTCACAGCTCGTGACAATCCCTGCAGCCAGTACTGACTGAGAGCTCACTATGGAGAACTTCATATGCACTGTGACCCAGGATCCTTACCTCAACATGTCACGAGGCAGGCCCGCTAATGTTGCTCAGAACAGAGAAGAAATAGAGGCTCCAAGAGACTGTGACTTGTAGAAGGCCGCACGTACAGTCAGGGGTACAACCAAGACCTACCAATGTCATCCCTTAGGGAAGACACCACACCTAGGGGTGTCACCTGGGGTCTTTGGTGCTCAACATCAGTGTGACTCTTGTGATTCCTGTCCTCAAAATGTAGACAACCAGCCTGTTTCTGTTTAAGTCACAGGCAAGGAGGCAAAACTCATTGGGTACAGATCAGCCACACTGGCAGTGAGCTACTGGTGGGACGCAGGGTTTGGAGGAGTGTCTTTATGGCAGAAGAGTAGGAGAAGAGACTGGGCATGGCTGAGTGACGTCCCTGGGAACCCCCAAGTCGTCCTTTCCTTTTGGGGCTGGGCTCTTTCCTGCCAGGTTCTTTTTGTTGTTGTTGTTGGGGCCCAGCTCTGCCTTGGTCCGGTCCCTCCTCCAGAGAACCTCCACTGCTACCCCCAGGCACCATGAACTTGGAGGACCGTACCCACTGAGCCATTGGGGAGACTGGTTCTGCCAATACTGCCAAATGGTGCTGTTATTCTTAAGAGAGAATAAAGGGGTAAAATCACACAGCAAGGAGAATGTTGTCTAGGGACAGTTAGAAAGAAAAAAAATGCCTTAGTCCTTCTAAATTGGAGTTGCGCACATGAAAGTTGTTTTACGATGTGCTTCTTGAACCAGGCCTCTGCCATGCTACTGTTTATCATGAAGACAAGAAAGAGACAGCCACTCCGAAGTGCTTCCCCAGGCTAGATGCCAGAGTTCCAGTACTCTTGGTCAAGCTTGTCCCGCCCAGTTCCGATGGCTGCAGGCTCTGGGGACATCCAGCCATGTCCCCTCCCCTTTCTGGGTGACCTTTCCCAGGTCAGACGACCCCAGACTGAACCAAACTGCAG